GAGCGCCAACCCTGGGGGAGGCTCGCGCGGAGACCCCGGCTCCTGGTTGGGTTCTTCGGTTGCTGCCGTCCCCGTCAGGGGCAATCCGAGCAGCGGCAGTGCGACGCGCAGCATCTTGCAGCCTGCCTAGCCGTCCTCCCGGTACTGCACGGCCGCCAGCCCTGTATCGCCGCCGCCGTCGCCTACCGGTCGCCCCAGCGTCACAGACACGTGGGGTGCGCTCCCCACAATCCTGGCTCCGATACACCCAAAGCCAGGTCCGGACAACGAGACCCTACCCCAGGCGTCCGTACTCTGATCCCCTGCTCCTCCCGTCTAAACCAGTCTCAGCTCTGGAAATTCCCCAGTGCAGCCCTCTCCCAAACCCCGCAACCGATCCCTTCCAGTCGGCTCCCCCAAACCTCCTCCAACCTGGATTCAGAGCTGTAAGCAGCCACAGCTCTCCAGAAACACTGGCTCGTCCCACCCTCCAGAGGCGGCAGCCAGCTGAGGGAGGGGACGGGGTCTGCGGGGGAGCGGGATCTAGAATGGAGGAGCGCGTCTCCTCCACTACCAGAGCCCCCACGCGGCGGGAAGCGGATCACTGATACCCAGTCCACCGGCGCCGGCGCTGCCGCGTGCAGACGGCAGGGGGCAGCGCGCAGCCGCCTTCTGAGCTGCCCTGCAGAGCCTGGGACCCCCTTCAGGCCCCAGACCAGGGCTGCGCACGCGCACTAGGTGCTCCCAGAAAGCCGTGACGGACAGCCCTATCCCCTAACATCCCCAGAAACTCTAAGGCCCAGACTAGGCCTAGCTCATTCCAGGCTGAGAAGAAAGCCGTTCCTCTTCATGTCCCAAACCGAGGAGCACCCAGATTCCTTCTCCCTCAAACTCTTCTCACATTTTCCATGAAACTCAAGAGAATGCATCTCCTTTCCCTAGAAAACGCAGCCTATCGATTTCCTTCAAACTAAGAGGGAGCCACGCAATTTTTCCCCCCAAATTGAGGGGCATTCGGCTTATCTCGCCCCAAACTGAGGAGGGCTGTCTCCACTTATTCAAATTTTTCCAAAACTGAGGGAAACATGTTCTACCTCCTCCCTCAAACTGAGTCATCCCATCTTTTTCCCAGAACTAGAGGCACCAGTCCCTCTTCTTCACCCAACTAAAGGGAAATGATCCCACCTCTTCCTTCAAAATGAGTGCAATCTAGTTTCATTTATCGCTCCAAACTGAAAGGGATCCATCTCCCTGCTTTCTCCAAATTAGGGAATCCCATCCACGTCATCCCTCAAACTAAAGGGATCAGGACTATCTCGTCCCTAACCTGGAGGAGACCTGGCCGGCTACTATCTAAAGAAATTTCCGCCCCACCTACCCTAACAATTCCTCAGAGAGCGTAACCTCAACGTTCCACGCCCAAAGATAGCATCCTGGCGCTCTGCGCACTCTCGAAGGCGGGGCGCGAGCTCGGTTTTCCCGCTCGCCCAGCCAGTGAACTAACGGGATCACGATCGTGCCCTCTGAGTGGCTGGTGGCAAACCCCGCCTCCGGCAGTGGTTGCCCCCCGCGCATTAGGAAACAACTCTTGGCTCCACCCCTTCCTCGGCTCCGCCTCCGCCTGGCTCCGCCCCTCTTCAGCGGCGTCCGGTCCGGCTCCGCCCAGACAGCAGAGCTAGTTGAGTAGACATCGCAACGGGTCCGGAATCCGTCCGGAGGCGCGAGTCGCGAGCCAGTGGCAGGAGCCATGGCGGGCGAGGAAGACCGAGGGGACGTGGAGCCGGTATCAGTGGTGACTGTGAGGGTGCAGTACCTGGAGGACACCGACCCCTTCGCATGTGCCAACTTCCCGGAGCCGCGCCGGGCCCCTACCTGCAGCCTGGACGGGGCGCTGCCTTTGGGCGCACAGATACCCGCGCTGCACCGCCTGTTGGGGGCGCCGCTCAAGGTGAGGAGGGCCGGAGAAATGTTGGGGACGATCGCGGGTTCAGGGCTGGCGCCATGAAACCTTGCTCCTCCTCGGAGAGAGGCTGGAGTGGGTGCGCTCCTCTGGATAAGTCTTATGCTGGGAACCCAAGATTCACGTGGCCTTGCTTGCGAGGGAAGCCTCTCCAGGGGAAGCTGAAGAAGGGATATGGGAGCTTGCGGTCTGCACCACCCTGGCTATCCCTCGAAGTGAGGCCCACCTGGGAAGGCGCTCAGGGGGTCCACTCGCTGCCTTTCTGCCTGGGTAACTGCTGTGGATAGAGTGAAGGTAGATATTTGAGTGGTAGAGAAGCTAGGAGGCGGAGCTGGGGAGGGACCTGCTTCCACCTGCTTCAGGTAAGGTGGGGCGGGACTACGAAGAGAGGAGGACCCGGGGCGGGCCTCTAGAGGTGGCAAAGGTTTCGAGCGGTGTTAGATTGGGTTCTGGCGGATAGAGTGGTGCTCCTGCAATCGGGGTTCTGGCTTGAGAGTGCCGACAGAGAAGATATTTCACGGGGTGAAGAGAATCCTTGGGAAGCTGCCGGGCCCGGGACATGCAGAGGGCGGGAGACTGCTCTGGAGGAAAAGTCCTTTGAGTCACCGCCCCCACCATCCCGTACTCGCGTCGCCGCGGGCGCGTGGCTGGAAGGGAGGGGGAGCCGGGCTAATTTTAAACCGTCGGCCTGCCCTAGTTTGCCTGCAACCGGGAGCCGACCAATACACAGTATCGGGAAAGGCCCTTTTCCAGATGGCAGGCCCTATCTCCCCTCCCGCTCGCCGTGCTCGGCCCCCCGCAGGCAGCCCTTTCCAGCACGCTGGGTTTCCGGGCTAGGACTCTGGGAGGCGCACTACCACCCCCTGGGGTTCCCCTCCAGCCGGTCCGCACCGAGTGGTGAGGATGAGGAGATTTGGTGGGGGTGCCTTTCCCTGCTCCCAGCCTTAGCTGAGCGCCGAGTTGCGCAAACTTGCCTCCTGGCCCGGGGGTCTCTCCTGGAATGTGCCCCGAGCGCCGGGCCCCCCAGCTTGCATTCCTCGCTCTGCGGGCCAGCTCCGCCTCCGAGTGCGGGCGGGAGAGGTGGTGAGACTCTTGGCTTGGGGAATGGCGCGTGTACAGGCAGAGCCCGGGCTTCAAGGCCACGACTTGAAGGTTGCAGCACACTGCCCACTCCAGAATTTGGATGCTCCCCAACCCCTTGTCCTGCCCTGTTTAATGGACAAACTGAGGTAGGCCTGGAAGAGGCGCGTCCAATGGGAGGCCACCTATTCAGGATGGGCGCTGAACCAAAGCCAGGTTCCTGCCTCCAGGATTCTGGAACTCCTGGTGCTGAAATAAGCCTGGGGTTCTACAGAGAACATAGTATTCCTCCCACCTCCCACTCTAGGACAGGACTTAGCCCTGAAACCCCTCTTTGCAATTAGGGGCAGGTTTGGGATGTCAACAACAGGAAAGAGGCTCAGAACACCCCCTTACTTAGGAGAGCATACCAGGTGCTCTCCCCTCTGTTCTCTACTCCCTAGCTGACACAACTGAGCTCAGATAACGTGTTAAGTCTCCCTGCAAATGAGTCTGGTCTCCTTACTTTCAGAATCTCCTACCTGGTGTACCTGAGGACTGCCACATCCTCCCCCACCCCAGGCAGAATATGGGGATGGATACCATAGTGCCTGCAGCCAGGACTCCCTGGGGCCAGCAGCTCTGCCAATGGTGGTCAGATGCACTGTGATGTGCTCATCCCAAATATAAACTGTGACCACAGCCCAAGAATAGAAGGCTGGAGGAAGAAGGGCTGAGAATAGGGTAGGGGCAGGGACATCAGAGAGCTGAGAGAAGGGGAGCAGAGCCACTTCTTGCAGGAAATGTCAACAGTTGGTCCCTCCTCTAGTCTTATAAGTGGGTGCCCTAGGAGTACAGACATGATTCAGGCCTGCCTTGATAGCCCTCTAAAGGAGAGAAGTGGCCCAGAAACCCAGATGTCCCTGAGCAGGGCTATGGAGCAGAAATAAGAGGGAGGGTTTCTCTGCTCCCTGCTTCATCCTCTGTATAGTTGTCCAGCAGAGGAACATGACACAGCCAAGTCTGCCCTCCTATTCTGGGCACTGACCCCCATCTTTACATCCCTCCCTGGGGATGTAAAGAGGCCAGGCCCACTTTCTCTCTAGTGCTCTACCCCACACTCTATTGGGCTAGGCCTAGCCTCTTGAGTTCCCCTGGGGCCTTCCTTTTTAAATGGCATGGAGCTTTCAGATCAGAGAAGGCCTTGCTCATTTCCTCCCAGTCTAGGAGGAAGCTCCTGGCCACAGCCTCTGACTCATCTCCTGGCCCTTGGCACAGGGAAGGGAGGGGGGATGTCCTGGCAGTGCCTTGGGCCATGCCCCAGAGGAACTCAGGAATACCTCTATCTTCCCTCTATGCAAGAACCTCTCCTAGCCCAGGGACCTGCCCTTGCCCCAGGGGAGAACCTGGGCCTCTGGCCCTGCATCTCATCTCTTTATTCAGAGCTACCCAGTCCTGCCCTCTGCTACCCTTTGTCCTTCTGGATGGTGCCTCAGGAGCCCCTCCCTGACACTCAAAGACCTTGCCACATCTGAGATAGCACTGACTTCTCCCTGGGCAGAGGAACCTGGGTGCTGCTCTAACCCTGAGGCAAAGACCAAAATAGCCCCTTACTCCTAGCAGTAGAGATAGCCCTAGAAATCTGTTCATTACCGACAACTTTGTTTCCCCAGTTGTGGCTAAAGGTTAGAGTAGGACAGGGGTGGCACTATCCTGGAATGTTTTCTGACCTTGCCCCCTCCCCGGTCCAGCCTCAGTTTACCCCTCAAAAGCAGTTGTGGCAAGGGGGCTCAAGGGTGAACCTGACCTGCTGGGACAGGGACCAACTGGAGAGGTCCCAGAGGGTTCTTAAGGATAAGATGCAGTGCTCTGGTGATGAACTAAGTAAGCCCTTCTTTAGCCCTCTTATGGAGTTTTCTTTAGGAGACTATATAAAATTGAGATGTGGGAATGAGTCATGGCCTCTTCCCAGCTTTCCCTAGGGCTGGCACGTCCAATTTGCTAGTCATTCTGGGCTAGGGAGCCTGGGCTGCAGCCTGGCGAGGGACCCCAGAACGTAGGTCTTGGCAGAAGTAGGCACTGTAACCCCAGTGTGTGTGATACGTTTGAGCTTAGTAGGGTTCCCTTGCTGGAACCGGGAAGACCAGTTTGGGGTATTTGCAGAATCCAGAAAGCTGAGGGGCAGTCTCCAAGTCTTGGCAAACCCTAAAAGCCCCAGCCCTCACTCAGCCTCCCTTCAGGGTTCCCTGGAGCACTTCCAAAGTCCACCTGTCCAAGATCTAGGTCAGTTAGACCTGGTCCTGGTTGTAGAGCCTGGGGCAAAAACACTGAATTTCTGAGCCTTGGTTTCCTCACCTGTAAAAGGATTATCAGGAGAATCAAAAGAACTAGAAAGCTCAGTGTGTGACACAGAGGAGACATAAGAAATGTGAGTTTCTTTCCTTGAGGTCCATCCATGTCATCTCAGCCAGGAAGTCACGGTCTAGTTGGAGACCCAAGATAACA